CTTTGTGGTAAGAGACAGGCATACATGTTATACATTCTGTGGGCTGGGAATTTTCATGGCGACAGTTTTTGAGTTACTGCTTCAAAAACATGCAATCTTATATTCTGTGGAAGAAGCAACATAACATTTGATAAATCACAACACATTTTTTCAGGATTTCCAACAACTCAAGCAAACAATGTACCTTTGATGAGTTAAACCTGAGGACATTTGATTTCTGCTTATTGTTTTTGAGACAGAAACTACAAAACCCATTCCACAGTTATTAGAATTCTACACAAGACCAGAATACCTGTGAATTTTACAACTTGCCTTCAATGTTGATAAACAAAGTATACTATGTTCATAGCAGATTCAAAGCAACCACTAATTTTGGTTCATTCACTGCATTTTGTTATACGCACTTCAACTAAATAACAGCAAGTGTCTGGGACTGAAATACAATGGTTGTATCCATCTGGTCATTATATATATATAGCTGTGATTTGCTGTTCTCACCTGAAGCACAAACCTGTCAAGTCACGTTTTAGATGTGAGGCTCACATTCTTAGATTAGCTTCCAAAATACAGTCACAAATTTTAAAAAATTACATTGGGTGGGTGGGTGGGTGGTGGTGGTGGTGGTGTGTGTGTGTGGGGGCTTTGCCTCCCCAGCTCCCCCACCAGGACTTCCCCCTGGACCCTGGCTTTTAAAGATTCTCACTTCTCAGAAACAATTTGGGTTGACACCTAATAAAGTAGATGTAAGGTTCAAGATCTTTCACCGATTTCATTTCACCCCTAACTCATACCTGTGTACGAATCTGTTTCATTGCAAAGGTGAAAAGAAAAAAAGAGGCTTGTCTGACATTTAGCTATGTCTGACACTGTGAGCACCAAACCAATATTAAACTTTAGAATTTGTGATGGTATTACGACCACTAAAACATAACACTGGTACCTCCCAGCCTGTAACCATCATGATGGTATCACGACTACTAAAACACAACACTGGTACCTCCCAGCCTGTAACCATCATGATGGTATCAAGACTACTAAAACACAACACTGGTACCTCCCAGCCTGTAACCATCATGATGGTATCACGACTACTAAAACATAACACTGGTACCTCCCAGCCTGTAACCATCATGATGGTATCACGACTACTAAAACACAACACTGGTACCTCCCAGCCCACATGTTGAGAGCTTGTAGTAGATCGTCAGGAGGATATTTCCACAGTCCCCCAGGAATTCTTCACATTAGGCAAACTCACCAGCCTTTTATATTATGTGTCTGAATCAGTGGGAGGGTAATGTACCATATTTCCTCTAATAAGCACTTGGACACTTATTTTTTCCACGGACTTCCAGACCCGGCGCTTATTAGAGGCTCGGCGCTTATTGGAGATCCGGTGCTTATTGCATAATATCCATCAACCCGTGCCTTGTGGAGGACAGGAAGTTACGACTAAAGGGACCATTACTTGACAAATCTGTCTTTTGATCAAAGGAGAAAACCTTTATAAAAAACTTATCCAGTGCTTACTAGAGACCTGGTGCTTATTTCTTAAACCGCTGCTTTACCCTCGGCGCTTATTATAGACTCGGCACTTATTAGAGGAAATACGGTACTGTTAATATGAAGTCCAATTCATTGCAAACAGAAAGCATGATGTTGTCCCTGGTAAATGAGCAAGACAAACAGCCGGCATATACCCAAGACAAACAGCCGGCATATACCCAAGACAAACAGCCAACATATACCCAAGACTTGTCAGCATTTAGTTCTTACTGTAAATCCTAAAAAAGGAGAAATTGAGATACATAGGAATTGTAGCATTAGTTCAGCATGATTTTCTTCTCTGTAGCACAGTGTGAAGTTACACAAATCATGTGAGTGGTGTTACTTGTACAGTCGGATTTACCTACCCATTTCCCAAGAACTCTGATTTCAGTGAACCATATAATTCATACAATTTTCATCAGTTTTGTATTTACGACCAATGGAATCTGTTTCAGCTTATAAATTATGCTGTTTATTCTCTAGCATTGTTGTATATATGTATAAATAGTTTTGTCTGTTTCATATTTATTCTACCATGACTTCAGTAAATACTGGATTGTGATTTGGGGCGGTGGGGTAGCCTAATGGTTAAAGCGTTGGCTCATTCTCGCCGAAGACCCGGGTTCGAATCCCCACATGGGTACAATGTGTGAAGCCCATTTCTGGTGTCCCCCGACGTGATGTTGCTGGAATATTGCTAAAAGCGGCGTAAAACCAAACTCAGTCACTTAGTCAGTGGATTGTGATTGGTTAATCAAAGTCATTAAGAGGTATATGATCACAGTATATAGCTCTGATTTTCTAATACAGTATGTATTTTCATTTAATCTTAATAACATGGTTATTGTAGAATGGAGATAAACATACTGTGTTGGAAAATCAGAGGTACATATGAAATTATAATAGCTCTAAATTTGATTTAAAACCGAGCGTGTTTACTATATTTCCTAAATGTAAGTCCCGAGGAAGAACAGACACTGAACCAATACATTTGTTTTGTTGTATTGTTGTAGTTAATCAGCAATCAGTAAGATTCTACAGTGGAACCTGTCAAATCTGAACTCTTTGTAAACTGGTTTTCTCCATAATCCGGACAACTCTCTAAGTCCCGGCAAAATGGTACTTAATTTATCATTAAGGTTGACTCTCTCAATTATGGATTATGGACTTAAATAACAGTCCCGACAATCAACTTGCTATGAGAACAATGCTTTGTAATCCAGACTTAGCTGACTAAAATAACAGTGCATTGAATAAACAGTGTTCACAAATAGTGTCTGACCCTCTGACAAATCCGGCAGATTCGCCAGCGGTCCAATAGAAGTCTACAACACACCGGACCCAGTGTCTGACTGTATATCTCACAATGACCTTAACTGAAATTGTTATATGTGACATGTGACACTTGTTTGCTGTTTATAAATCATTTATTTCTTAATAATTTCAATGCCAATTATAAGAAATGTTAAATCTGAAATGTGTGTTTAATTTTATTCTATAGATCCTCTGAATTTTCAATGGGTCAGACAAACATCTGAAACTTACAGGACCCAATGTCCTGTTACTTTGAAACACCATTCGTGAACACTGAATAAATATCTCCGTGAAGGTCCGGGTTAGAATGAACCTTCAGTAACCATTGCTTGTCGTAAGATGCGACTAACAGGATCGGGTGGTCAGGCTCGCTGGCTTGGTTGACACATGTCATCGGTTCCCAATTGCGCAGATCGATGCTCATGCTGTTGATCACTGTATTGTCTGGTCCAGACTCGATTATTTACAGACCGCCGCCATATAGCTGGAATATTGCTGAGTGCGGCGTAAAACTAAACTCACTCACTCACTTCTGTTCTCAATGGTTACTTAATTCCCTCCCCATGACATGGACAGCCAGTCATAAGGCTTGGATAAATACTGCTGTATTCACTGATTGGCTGGAGCAAGCAAACAGACACATTCAACAATTCTTAAGAGATCTGGATTTCCTACGGCCCAAAAAACTGAAGACAACAATGAAGAAGAAGATCTACGGTAACAGACAAAAGTTGACAAATCAGGACTGCTTTATAATCCGGACAAATGAGTTGGTCCCAGGCCAGTCCGTACTAGACAGATTCCACTGTATATACATGATGATAAGGTGTGTATAAAGAAGTCTGGCCCAGACTGAGGATTGATATTGTGAGCATCGATCCATGCTGCTGTGGTACCATGTAATCAAACTAGTCACTATGCCAGACCACTTAGTCATCGTTTCTGTGCCCTTGTTTGATAAGCAGCGTTTGCTGGGATCTAGTCTTACTCAGAATCCTTGTGTGTTTCAAATACTGAAACAGATTGCCAATCAGTTCACAGTTAGTTCATTGTCTGACATTTCCTGTTGTGTACACATGATATTAGTTTGCAGTCAGTTGCAACAAATCAGGCTTTGAATACGCAATGCCATTTAGAAAGTGGTCAAATGTAACATGTTTTATCAGGGATTATTACTCTTTCTCAGGAAAGTACAGATTCTAGTACTCTTGGTTTACCGACACACAAAGTCAGCGATCTAACACATTGGTCTGGTTACTTGACTACAAGTTGTCAGACATCCCTTTTTGTGGAAGCCAGGGTGACTGAGTAGGTTCGATTGAGTTTGCGCGCTGGCAATCAGTCTTTCCCGACATCCTGGTTACAATTACATGACACATCCAGTATTTAATAACATACTGCTAGTAAATGTAATTTTTTCAAATTTAATATCCCCATATAACATATGGTTAACTGTATTTTAAAAAAAATAAATTTTTAAACCAAGAATGAATTTGGGATTCCTTGTAATTTATTAAAACAATGTTAAAAGCACATCTGACTTGAAAATTGAGGTTTACAAGATATATTGATTGTTTCTACATACGCATTTAAAAAAAATATTAAAATCCAAAGTATGGCAGTGGGGTAGCCTAGTGGTTAAAGTGTTCGTTTGTCACGCCGAAGACCCGGGTTTGATTTCCCACATGGGTACAATGTGTGAAGCCCATTTCTGGTGTCCCCCGCCCTGATGTTGCTGGAATATTGGAAAAGCAGTATAGAGCCTTACTCACTCATTATGTCGTAAGAGGAAATAGATCAAGGTGGGAGTAATTTGATATCAGGACAGCGTTAATTCTATGCCTATGTATGCACTCTTGACTTCAGAAGCCTGTTTGTAGAGACATTTCAAATTTGCACTTGAGAATGCTGGAAGAGAGAGACTTTGATGATCCTCAATGGCCAAGAATTTCTCAAATAGAGGCCTCACCCGTGAAATAATCATTGAGGACATGCTTTTAGAACTGTCTTCATTCCTTAATTAGCTTGAAAAAGAGGTATCCTTTCCAAGGATTGAAACCATTTTAGCTTGTATAGCTCCCATAGACCTCTGACATCAATGTAACCTCTATTTTGTTTGAAAATCTCTCATCAAAGCCAGGATGGGATACTTTATAATGGACAGCCATAAACAACGATCCTATTAGGCTATGTCAAAATGTACTTTAAGTTGAGGCTTTATTTGGTGAGCACAATTTGGTTCTTAAAGCCAGAACCTTGTTTCTTTCTGTTCAGTGCCAGAGTTTGCTCGCTGCATTGCACATAATGCTTGTAATACCTCGACAGAAGCTTGCTTCATTTAATCTTTGGGGGCCTTGTTACTTGTTACGTTTTGTTTTTCTCATGGATACAGCTAAGCCTTGACCGAAACTTGCTACATTGATCATGGCTCCTCTATCTCTTAATATAATCCTGCTACATTGTCCAGCTAACCATTAAAACAACATAATCCCTAGACACAGGTTTGTACATTTATATCATGGCACCAATAACTGTTAACAAAGCATTTTACGTTTGGAATGGGTGGACTATCTGTTAACATAAACTTACTGAATTGAAAATGAGTGCCGTATCCTTTATCATAAACTTGCTGCATTTAGAATGAGTGCCGTATCCTTTAACATAAACTTGCTGCATTTAGAATGAGTGCCGTATCCTTTAACATAAACTTGTTGCATTTAGAATGAGTGCAGTATCCTTTATCATAAACTTGCTGCATTTAGAATGAGTGCAGTATCCTTTAACATAAACATGCTGCATTTAGAATGAGTGCTGTATCCTTTAACATAAACTTGCTGCATTTAGAATGAGTGCTGTATCCTTTAACATAAACTTGCTGCATTTAGAACGAGTGCAGTATCCTTTAACATAAACTTGCTGCATTTAGAACGAGTGCTGTATCCTTTAACATAAACTTGCTGCATTTAGAATGAGTGCATTTAGTGATCCTTTAACATAAACTTGCTGCATTTAGAATGAGTGCCATATCCTTTAACATAAACTTGTTGCATTTAGAATGAGTGCCGTATCCTTTATCATAAACTTGCTGCATTTAGAATGAGTGCTGTATCCTTTAACATAAACTTGCTGCATTTAGAATGAGTGCTTTATCCTTTAACATAAACTTGCTGCATTTAGAACGAGTGCAGTATCCTTTAACATAAACTTGCTGCATTTAGAATGAGTGCTTTATCCTTTAACATAAACTTGCTGCATTTAGAACGAGTGCAGTATCCTTTAACATAAACTTGCTGCATTTAGAATGAGTGCTGTATCCTTTAACATAAACTTGCTGCATTTAGAATGAGTGCAGTATCCTTTAACATAAACTTGCTGCATTTAGAATGAGTGCAGTATCCTTTATCATAAACTTGCTGCATTTAGAATGAGTGCCGTATCCTTTAACATAAACTTGCTGCATTTAGAATGAGTGCTTTATCCTTTAACATAAACTTGCTGCATTTAGAATGAGTGCTGTATCCTTTAACATAAACTTGCTGCATTTAGAATGAGTGCTTTATCCTTTAACATAAACTTGCTGCATTTAGAATGAGTGCTGTATCCTTTATCATAAACTTGCTGCATTTAGAATGAGTGCCGTATCCTTTAACATAAACTTGCTGCATTTAGAATGAGTGCTGTATCCTTTAACATAAACTTGCTGCATTTAGAATGAGTGCTGTATCCTTTAACATAAACTTGCTGCATTTAGAATGAGTGCAGTATCCTTTAACATAAACTTGCTGCATTTAGAATGAGTGCTGTATCCTTTAACATAAACTTGCTGCATTTAGAATGAGTGCTTTATCCTTTAACATGCACTTGCTGCATTTAGACAGTGCTGTATCCTTTAACATAAACTTGCTGCATTTAGAATGAGTGCTTTATCCTTTAACATAAACTTGCTGCATTTAGAATGAGTGCAGTATCCTTTAACATAAACTTGCTGCATTTAGAATGAGTGCTGTATCCTTTAACATAAACTTGCTGCATTTAGAATGAGTGCTTTATCCTTTAACATAAACTTGCTGCATTTAGAATGAGTGCAGTATCCTTTAACATAAACTTGCTGCATTTAGAATGAGTGCTGTATCCTTTAACATAAACTTGCTGCATTTAGAATGAGTGCTTTATCCTTTAACATAAACTTGCTGCATTTAGAACGAGTGCTGTATCCTTTATCATAAACTTGCTGCATTTAGAATGAGTGCCGTATCCTTTAACATAAACTTGCTGCATTTAGAATGAGTGCACTATCCTTTAACATAAACTTGCTGCATTTAGAATGAGTGCACTATCCTTTAACATAAACTTGCTGCATTTAGAATGAGTGCTGTATCCTTTAACATAAACTTGCTGCATTTAGAACGAGTGCAGTATCCTTTAACATAAACTTGCTGCATTTAGAACGAGTGCAGTATCCTTTAACATAAACTTGCTGCATTTAGAATGAGTGCTGTATCCTTTAACATAAACTTGCTACATTTAGAATGCACACCTACCTGCCCAATCAACCACACCTACCTGACCAGACTACCATACCTACCTGACCCGTGAACCACACCTACCAGACCAATCAACCACCCGTACCTGACCAATCAACCACATCTACCTGACCAATCAACATAACTACAGGACCAGTCAACCATACCTACCTGACCAATCAACCATGCCTACCTGACCAGTCAACCATACCTACCTGACCCGTGAACCACACCTACCTGACCAATCAGCCACACCTACCAGACCAATCAACCACCCGTACCTGACCAATCAACCACACCTACCTGACCAATCAACCACACCTACCAGACCAATCAACCACACCTACCAGACCAATCAACCACACCTACCAGACCAATCAACCACACCTACCTGACCAATCAACCACACCTACCTGACCTGTGAAACTACCCACACAATCTTTTACAAACATCTTCAATAGAGGTTTAAGGAGATTTCATTACCACAGAAAATTGATTCAATTCTGAGTTCAAATGTTTACTCCTTTGGAGCCAGTTGATACCATGGTTGCTGAAGAGTTCTAAATCAGACATTACTTAAATAATTACAGGCTTTTATCACAACAGATTTTGCAAGAAAGACTATTTCTTCCCTTTTCCCTTTGAAGAGCATTTTCTTTAAATCTAAAGGTCAGTGTGTAAACTATTCCCTTCTTACAGAAATGGCCATAATTGCCTGATTAGTGTTCAGGAACACTGATGACTGTTTCAAGACTGTTTCAAGATGGAGGAGAAGCAGACATGTTTGTCATCATAATTCTGGCACAAGCTTCAATCTTATTGTAACCGGGATATATGATGATATTGTTACACATGCAAGATAACAGCTGGTTCTGAGACGTTGCTGCCTAGATTGATGGAAGCATTCCTACCCTGCTGGACAAACTCTGCCACCAGTCATGAAGAATCATTCTAAAAACAGGAGGCACTCTCGAAATAGTTTGTTTTTCAGCTTTGCTTATTCTTTTGATCCTTTATTTGTATGTGTTGTGTTAAGACTTCTCGTAAGCTCCTGATGGGTTTCACTGCTGTCTTTGATTTGATTCTTCCGACTTTCCCCCCAAATCTCACAGAGTGATAGGATTAAAACTCTGTCAAGGTCACACTGACATCGATCACCCTTCATTCCTTCTTATTTGCTTTTGTTAAGGGCAATTGTACTTTTGCATATTCATCTCTAAGAAATCTAGCACCCAGTTGGCTAGGCTCCTCAGTTTGCTGTGCAGTGCAGCCTTGCATTGCTTGGAGTGCCAGATTCCTGTATGGTCATGGATGTGGATCCCAGGAAATGCTGTTTGTTTTTGGTCTGTTAGCGCCGTACCTGTACTTCTGGGTTCCACCAAAATGGTAATTAGGTTTTCGTCAACCCAAACACACCATGATAGAAATAAAATACTGTTAAAAGCAACATTATGATGAAGAATACAGTGCTTTAAAAATTCAAAGTTCTGTTTAATTTCAAATCTTTTCTTTGATATAATATAAAAATTGTCTTTTTGCATCGTGAAGAAAACAAATTCTGAAGAATAGCCTTGACCTAGTTTCTGAGGTTAGTACATGTATGTCAGTAGATATAAGATTGCCATGGAAACTTTTTGTAGTAACTGAAACAGAATCCCACATTTCCTGGCAGCGTGTCCGCAGTGACACAGTTACTGTTAATCTTCATCCAGGATCTGCCTCCATTATGTACCCGACACCCAGGCTGCAGTGTACAGGGTTACCATCTGAAGCAGTGTCTCGTTACACACGGACTACTTGACATTTTAGAGAGGCTAGGATGCTAGGAACTTATTATTAAGCTACAGCTACAATATTTGTTTCATTAAAACTATCAGCCTGAATAAAAAATATATAAAATATACTTTGCAACAATGTACTTTTTAGATCTGTGGACTCGATTCTTTACAGGCTGCTGCCATACAGCTGAAATATTGCCGAGTGTGGTTTTAAACTAGAAACAATCAAACAAACAAAAATCATGTAATAACAGCGTTCAAAATACCTGCCTGCCCAACTGCCCGGGACGGGTCATTTTCAACATGGACTGCCAGATTCACAAATTCACCTGCCCGATGGTCGGGTTAAAATTTAGACATGTATATACTCCCCAGGGAGTTGAGATTGATAATACCATGTGCCATTGAGATTGACATCCAATGATCGAGGAAAAAATATCAGCGCCTTGAGCATGCACTAGTTGCCAGGATATGTGCGCTATATAAATATCCTATATAATAATAAAAATAATAACATGTATATGAAGATATTCATCATATTTCAGGATAATAAATCATTATTAATTCACTTGTAAAAATAAATGATGAATTCCAATTGGATGATAAACTACGTCGCTTTCAAACCTCAGTTATTTAGGGGCCAGTAGGTTTGGGTCAGGGCTGGCAAGTTTTACATCTACCCAGCCTTGTGGTCTGGCTTCAACTTTTGGGAGTGTCATACCCTGGTAATAATGTATTTTTTCTGACATTTTTTTCCGTTTCTGTCAAAAGGGTAAGGCATAATTATGTTTGTCAAGTATTTTTGTGGCAGTTTTTTTTTTTAATAAAATCCCAGCCCTTCCTCAAATATCAAATGGTTGACTCCCTACACACCACAGTCACCATGCTTCAGATAGTGCTGCATCATATCATTCTCCAACATTTCAGATCAATACATGTTGGCCTTTTAATCTGTACAGAAGATGGGGAATCTGTTGATGATCTGCTAGTGTCTTGGTGAGGAAATCTGTAGCACTGTACAAGGGTTGTGAAGGAATATTGCACATCTATGACTTCTTTTGATTTACCAGCTTGTTAGATGTCAACTGTGGTTTGAACCCGTGTCAAACTTCTTCCCACTTCTCGGCTGTTAGATGTGCTCGGAGTAATTGTCTTGATTTGGTGATTGGCTGGAAGAGGAACAGTCATGACTGTGAGGAACTAGGAAATTTGTCAGTCATGTTTAGTTAGAGGAAGAATGATCTTGTGCCATTTGTTGGGGGGAGGGGGTAATGAGGGAGGCCTCTAGGGGTCGGTAGGGGGGCGAGGTGCTGGGCAGGGTAGCATTCCAACAAGCCATGGTGACTTAAGCCATGCTGGAGTTCATCACACGGGGCTTGTAACACTACAAACTGCCATCAAGGTATATACTGTTACTGACGGGGTTCCAGCACTCATTTCATAAGTGCTAAGACCCCGTCAGTGACAGTATATACCTTGATGGCAGTTTGTAGTGTTACAAGCCCCTGTGGAGTTGATGACAAAAATATAAAGATTTTTTCCCTACTATTCATACCCTTTTCTGGAAGACCCACTTTGCAAGTTAATAAACATAGAAACTGACAAGGTGACAATGTTGATACAAACTAAAGTCAGGTGTCATTTACAGCAAATGTTTTCTTTATACAGTAAATATACCTCAATGTGTGGGCACAAGTCTACAGCAAGTGACTGTAAAAATCCCCAGTTTTAATCAAAACTCCCCATTTGTTCAGAATTCATGAAAACAGGAATATTGAAATAAACTAATTCAGAATGATATCATAGTTTTTTCCACATTGCCAGCCAACAACACTTAGTTTGAAAATGTAGGTAAATCCCTGTCTACACTGAATGTCAAGATAACTACAATTATAACTGATGAAATTTTCTCCCAGACAGTCAGGAAGGTAGAACTAAATGTCACCTGTCACAACAGGAGTGTTACCCGCCACTAGATAGCAGGCACTGGCCCTGGCAGGCATCTACACAGTGGTGCTGGGATCTGTGACACAACAAATATGTTTTCAGTCACTGTTTTACAACATATGTTTTGTCTAAAACGTGGAGCCAAACAATTTTAATCCCAAAATATTTTTTAAAAATCAGCATGCCTTTGAAAACTCCATTTTCAAGTATTTTCTTATTTAATCCTTTTTTTCATTTTTTTAAATCTTAGGTTTCCCCAAAATATCCAATGATCTGTCCTTAAAGCAAATATTATGTTTCCAAATCTTAATTGATTTTTCACTTTTCTTGTGATTACTAAAAGATAAAATTTACACAAATATAGTGACTTTTCAGTAATGTTTGGATTGCCCAGTTTTTCTTACAAAGCATTATTCAAAATAATAATGTCAACAGCGTAGACATATAAGAAAACTTAAGCAGTTTCGCAAGATAAAGATTATGTTTTTTCATCTCCACAGAAACCTACAAAACATCCATGATGAGCTGGTTTTATTTTTTTTTCAGTAAAATATCTCAAAAGACAAGGTACTTCTTTCACAAAATCAATAGTAATGCCTAGTTTTCTTTAAACTTTCCAGGCTCCGTCTCGTTATCTTTCAGTGGTTCCCTTCAAAGTCCAAGAACCTTGCTTCCTGTAAGGATTAAAATGTCTGATGACACACTGAAGAAAGGAAGCTGTAATAAACGAGTCATGAACTAGCCTATCTTTCTGCTTCAGAGGATTAAGTAGGAACTAAGGAGGAACATCTCATCATTTGAGCATTCTGTAATCTGCTCCGATTTGTCAGTGATCATAAGACATGTCTATCATGGTTGTAATAGATCTCTGTGAGGTCATGGTGTACACTGGTATGTGTGTCTTGTCTGTGTGTGAGGTCATGGTGTACACTGGTATGTGTGTCTTGTCTGTGTGTGAGGTCATGGTGTACACTGGTATGTGTGTCTTGTCTGTGTGTGAGGTCATGGTGTACACTGGTATGTGAGTCTTGTCTGTGTGTGAAGTCATGGTGTACACTGGTATGTGTGTCTTGTCTGTGTGTGAGGTCATGGTGCACACTGGTATGTGTGTCTTGTCTGTGTGTGAGGTCTGTGTGTGGTCATGTACACTGGTATGTGTGTCTTGTCTGTGTGTGAGGTCATGGTGTACACTGGTATGTGTGTCTTGTCTGTGTGTGAGGTCATGGTGTACACTGGTATGTGTGTGTCTTGTCTGTGTGTGAGGTCATGGTGTACACTGGTATGTGTGTCTTGTCTGTGTGTGAGGTCATGGTGCACACTGGTATGTGTGTCTTGTCTGTGTGTGAGGTCATGATGTACACTGGTATGTGTGTCATGTCTGTGTGTGAGGTCATGGTGCACACTGGTATGTGTGTCTTGTCTGTGTGTGAGGTCATAATGTACACTGGTATGTGTGTCTTGTCTGTGTGAGGTCATGATGTACACTGGTATGTGTGTCTTGTGTGTGAGGTCATGGTATACACTTGTATGTGTGTCTTGTCTGTGTGTGAGGTCATGGTGTACACTGGTATGTGTGTCTTGTGTGTGAGGTCATGGTATACACTGGTATGTGTGTCTTGTCTGTGTGTGAGGTCATGGTGTACACTGGTATGTGTGTCTTGTCTGTGTGTGAGGTCATGGTATACACTGGTATGTGTCTTCTCTGTGAGGTCATGGTATACACTGGTATGTGTGTCTTGTCTGTGTGTGAGGTCATGGTGTACACTGGTATGTCTGTCTGGTCATGGTGTACACTGGTATGTGTGTCTTGTCTGTGTGTGAGGTCATTGTGTACACTGGTGTGTGTGTCTTGTCTGAGTGTGTGAGGTCATGGTGTACACTGGTATGTGTGTCTGGTCATGGTGTACACTGGTATGTGTGTCTTGTCTGTGTGTGAGGTCATGGTGTACACTGGTGTGTGTGAGGTCATGGTGTACACTGGTATGTGTGTCTGGTCATGGTGTACACTGGTATGTGTGTCTTGTCTGTGTGTGAGGTCATGGTGTACACTGGTATGTGTGTCTTGTGTGTCAGGTCATGGTGTACACTGGTATGTGTGTCTTGTGTGTCAGGTCATGGTGTACACTGGTATTTTTGTATCGGTTGTGGCAGACCAGTGTCAGGTCATTAATTGTTTACTGATATGTCTGTTTCTGTTGTGCCCAACCAGTATAAATTATTTTTCATGAATGCAACATCAAGAATGTTTCCAATGAGGACCAGGGCGGTGGAGGTAGCCTAATGGTTAAGTGTCTGCTTGTCGCACTGAAGACCTGGGTTTGATTCCCTACATGGGTACAATGTTTTAAGCCCATTTCTGGTGTCCCCCGCTGTGATATTGACAGAATATTGCTAAAAGCGGCGTAAAACGACACTCACTCCAATGAGGGCCAGGTATTATGTACTCTGTAAATGCTGAATATGAGTTTCTCGTGCTGGGATTAATTTTCTAACCCGTATACGTTTTCTCAGATACTTTTTGACCAATTTTATTTAAGCTGCATATCGGTGTTACCAGACACACTTTGATTTTGTGCTTCATGATGACAAAATTGATCCTTTGAAGTAAAACCCATTTCTTTGATGTTGCAGAATGATATATGGGTATAGCAGAAGATTTCATTTCAAGAATAACAGAGTGATTTAACAAGCACATTAGACTGAGGGTTTGCTGTGGTTATTGATGACAGGCAGCACACACATGTACAAGCATCCTGTGACCGTGCTGGAGAGATTGTCCGGGATTAGCTGTACATGTAGAGACTCTCACCCGAGTGTCCTCCAACATCCAATACATCACGACAAGTTGTTAAAAGTTACAAATAACCAAGGCTTTTACGGATATTTTAGCTTTTATTATCAAGTACTGATATATTTTAGCTTGGATGACACTCAGGTGAAAATCCATTCATCATTCAGAATTGTTCATCCACCATTTTGTGTTTGTAGCCAGTGATAACCATTGTAAATACAGCAACAACTCCAGAGGCAGAGACATAAGTGATGTCATTTGATTGTGATGTCATCATAACTGATGACATCACAATGGCCGGCACAGGATTACATGAAAATGTATATACTGAACATAAACAGTTACAAGATGTCAGTAATTAGATTGGGGGTGGTGGGGTAGCCTAATGGTTAAAGCGTTGGTTCGTCACGCCGAAGACCCGGGTTCGAATCCCCTCATGGGCACAATGTGTGAAGCCCATTTCTGGTGTCCCCCTGCCGTGATGTTGCTGGAATATTGCTAAAAGCGGCATAAAGCCAAACTCAGTCAGTCAGTCAGTCAGTAATTAGATTACTAACACTATCTTTGTTCAGATCACCTGCATGGTTTGTCACCTGAGATGATTTCAGGTCTGAAGGACGATGCAGACCATTGTATTATATAAGAGTCGTTTGTGCATTGTATATCATGATATTCATTATCAATAATGTATGGATACAAATCTCTTATGTTGATACTAAACTGGAATCCACTGCCACCAGAATACTCATGTTTATGAAGGGATGAATTTAGTTGTTTTTTATTTTGGCAGAATATTGAGTGTTATTTTATTCCGCTGACAAGAAATATATAAAATGTTGACAAATACAAATTCAGTTACTCCAGCTATCAAGGAAAATAAAGTTTTTGAAATACTATTATTTAAACCTATTGAGTAAAAACTACATCATCATATTGACACTGAAATATACAGAACATGATCAACATAGAATATTAGAATAGCTGCTAAAAGTAAAGTCCAATACACTTAACACTTTTAATTTAAGTGAAAAGCACAAAATATTGCAATCCTCACAAAAGGAATGACTGAAAAAATAAAAAATGGATTTCAATGTTAAATTACAAAATAAAATAATACTAAAAAAGACTGAGTCGTAGTATCATGATGGATAAAAAGAGGAAAAAAATTAAAGTGCATTATTATTTACCTTCCAATCAGAATTTTGTTCCCCACCCCTAAAGGTTGGGCCTTGCCAATTCCATCATACTTCAAAGAATGAGGACTGTGTGCCCCACTGAAGCTGGTGGACACCAAGTTTGTTGCAGGTGTGATAGAGCTGGATGGGGTATCAGTGGTTGTACATCTACAGGTGTTCTGTGTCAGGTGTTCCATATCTGCCCTCTGTGTTCCAGATACCCGGAGTTACCACCAGAACCTAGACAGGCTCTTCACTCATAGCTGCAGGTAAGACTGAGAAGATGTACTTGTACCAAGTTGCTGATAACAGATGAGAGACAGCACTCTCTCTCAGGATATGTAGATAGTAGTTTCTTTTTAACTCATCCCATCTCACACTGTGCATTTCTTCTTGTTGCTGATAACAGATGAGAGACAGCACTCTCTCAGGATATGTAGATAGTAGTTTCTTTTTAACTCATCCCATCTCACACTGTGCATTTCTTCTTGTTGCTGATAACAGATGAGAGACAGCACTCTCTCAGGATATGTAGATAGTAGTTTCTTTTTAACTCATCCCATCTCACACTGTGCATTTCTTCTTGTTGCTGATAACAGATGAGAGACAGCACCCTCTCAGGATATGTAGATAGTAGTTTCTTTTTAACTCATCCCATCTCACACTGTGCATTTCTTCTTGTTGCTGATAACAGATGAGAGACAGCACCCTCTCTCAGGATATATAGAGATAGTAGTTTCTTCTTTTTTAACTCATCCCATCTCACACTGTGCATTTCTTCTTGTTGCTGATAACAGATGAGAGACAGCACTCTCTCAGGATATGTAGATAGTAGTTTCTTTTTAACTCATCCCATCTCACACTATGCATTTCTTCTTGTTGCTGATAACAGATGAGAGACAGCACTCTCTCAGGATATGTAGATAGTAGTTTCTTTTTAACTCATCCCATCTCACACTGTGCATTTCTTCTTGTTGCTGATAACAGATGAGAGACAGCACTCTCTCAGGATATGTAGATAGTAGTTTCTTTTTAACTCATCCCATCTCACACTATGCATTTCTTCTTCTTTTAATCCATATTTGTTTGCTGTTTAATCCTGCACAATATTCCAGCTATATGATGGCAGTCTGTAAAACATCAAATCTGGACCAGATAATTTAGTGATCAACAACATGAGCATCAATCTACGCTGTTGGGATATGATGACATGTATTAAACAAGTCAGCGAGCCTAGCCACCCGATGCTGTTAGTCTCGTCTTACCTTTCCATCCATCAATGGTGGCACTCTCTGTCCTGTTTCAAGCTTAAAAAAGACACCTCACCCAAACACATTGAAAAAAGTAGATAAATGCACAATGTGAGATAGGATAAGCATTCATGAATATATATGTGTTGTAAAATTTACAGAAGCGTAACCTAAATTCGTGGATAACCTTGATTCGTGGATCGCGAAAATTATCATGCTAGCTCGAAAATTAAGTTTCGACTGACGTCACGAAGCGGTACTTTTGATGTACATACAATGCCACACCTCACTGACAAAAAAGTTCCGAATATCTGCTTTACACGCAAGTACACTAAATATAATTGTCCAGCATTGAGATAAATAGCCCCAGATCACTAATACCACAATTACCAAATTATATTTTTACAAAATGTCAAGTAAAAAAGATACCGTTAGCTCCAACCTTCTCACTTCTTGTTGTCTGCTTTTCTTGGTGTCAATACTTACTGCAGTGGGATGTCGTACATAGTGGTATAAAGTAACCAACTACGTAATCCACGAAACAAGGCGACGTCACATTTTGTGGGCACACGAATGGGTGATGATTGCAAATGGCTTCCGTAAACAAACGTTTCATTCACGAGTGGAATATTGGGCATTTTCATTTTGCTGAATCAATGAATAAAATAATCAGTGCATATACAAAATTAAATCATGCATTTAAAATATGAATTTCGCCACATTTCCTTTATATCCACGAATCAAGGTTACGCGAGTGTAATTTTTCTCTTTTCAAATGATGTGTCTATTTCATCAAGTTCCCTGTTGATATTACCACGAATAATCCAGTTACAAGGAAAATATCAACTTTGCAGGTCAGAAGATGAGGTTCACATTTTATTTCACAACAACAAAAATGATCTTCCCTCTGTATTTTCCCAAATTATTTTATATGATTCTTGAAGCTATAGCGTTATGGAAATAGACTGAAACTATTTACAGCATTGTGGAGTATTGATTTGATATAGTATTTCAGCACTTTGTACACTTTCTGAAATACACTGTAACTGTTTCTTTTTCCCTGATATTGAACTGTCAGAGTCTTTTATCTGTCAGCTCAGGCAAATGCTTGAGTCTCAGGAATAGCATGCTTATGAGTGTAGTGGAGATTGTGTTCACTTTCTGCTGGAGGCCCATGAACCAATGCCTGGGGTCTGTGTGTCTACATCCAGCTCAAGGGCTACTGTTGTACCAAGTGAATCAGTCAGAGGCCCTTACTGAGATATATTTGTAATACACCTCATCCTTAATACACAAGAGCCTTTTGACTGCAGTTTTCAGCTGTAAGCGTCAGGAACTGGTGGTGCTGAACATGTGATTTGTGGAAATATTTTGACCACAATTTCATCAACCTTGGAAATGGCCACAAAAGGGACATGTTTCCACTAAGAATCTCACTTATAGGGACTCAGATATGTAGTCGACAGGCCCATCCTTTACTGAAAACATCCGGTCAACATCAAATAGCCAATTCTACTCATCCTTATGATATCTTTAATACATATCAGTTTTGTAAGGATTATGGGATCTGTGTGTGTTTCAATTGTGCCATCAGATTGTCTCCCTTTGTCTCCCTCCACGCTTTAGATAAATAGACCTCTGGACACTTTACATTTTGCCTAAAAAGGCTTTCATATGTTCCGTGTCTGACACTGACATGCATGGCTGCGTTTAGGACAGTTCATCAATGGGTTTGTCCATTGGCTGTTTAAATCAAGTGTCCTTGTGTGTCTCCATGCATGGTTACCATGAGTGAATCCTTATTCTCCCCTAATTCTCGGCATCTTCTTTAGGTAGAATATTTCAAAAGTGGCATCAAACCTTACAGACTGACTCAGAAATTCTGGGCTTCAGGATCTGGCTTCTTTTCTTGTGGCTCAGTACTATGTCTGTAGTTATACTACATGCTTGTCTGGTTATACATGGTAATGTCTTGATGTCATAGGTGACCCAACCCAGCAACCTCTCCAACCTCCACAACAGTGATGGAGCAGGTTGGTACTTCTATGTAAATCATTACTCAGTGTTCAAATTGAAAGGGGATCATGGTTGATCAAATTTTATTCTTCAGTGCCATGCAGACTGCAGCTGTGCAGAGTTATCTCCCTTTGGTATGCCAGAATCCTATGATCTTGGGTTTGAATCCATATGCGCCTAGGTTTGTCAACATCATAACAATTACTCAATGGTATATGGGTGCCATCACTTCAGTCTTTTTCTCCAACTTGTCTTCAACTGAAACAGTGTGATAGTAATGGGAGACTGTTAATAGCAGTATTAAACCCAAATCACTCACTCATAATTAGAGGGGGCGGTGGGGTAGCCTAATGGTTAAAGCGTTGGCTCGTCACGCCGAAGACCCGGGTTCGAATCCCCTCATGGGCACAATGTGTGAAGCCCATTTCTGGTGTCCCCCGCCGTGATGTTGCTGGAATATTGCTAAAAGCGGCGTTAAAACCAAACTCAGTCAGTCAGTCATAATTAGAGGGGTCCAATGGTAATTGAATCCTCTGTTGTAAGTTTTATCATTGGGGCTATGACAAGGACATTATGACTTTCCAGCTCTCTTTTAGTGATTGTAAGTTATTAATTGACTTTAATAAACATTAATTATCATAATCATGTTTGTGATGAACAGTCCAAAAAATGTTTCTAATTTCTGAAAAGCATATGATCATACAGGATCCAAAAACACGAGAAGTATTTTCATCAATTTTGTATAATTTGACCAAGGTCTCCTTGAACGTAACTTCCAGTAAAGATGAGATGGTAGGAAAAAGGTTTCCAAATGTTCTGGTGTCAGAGATTGAAGAGTGATGGGCTTTCCTTTACTGTAATTGGCTGCTCAAGGGTTGCGCGGAAAAACTGAGGAGAGTTTTCATTTCCGAGATTGTGCTGTATAACGATTGGAACTGCAGTGCTCCTCAGATAGAAATAACTCGTGAATCGGATCACTTGTTAAGTGTCTAAGATCTTGAAACAAAATTATGCAGCTGATGTGTCATTAATCTCAATTTCCAAATTTAACTCATAACCTGATGTATTTGTTGAATTTGAGTGTATGGAAGAATTTAAGGCTTTTTGAGTTGTATACAGATGTAGTGAGCATGTATGAATTGTATGATTATATTTTATGTATCAGGAATTCATCAAGACTTGCCCAATATCAAGTCAGATATTCAAAAGGATCATATTTACAACAAATTGTGTTGTGTTTGTTCATTATTTTTTTTATTTGTCAGTGCAGAATGTGCCTTCTCCACCCCTCATCCCCCTACCCCATCTTCATCCCCCACCCCTGACCCACACCCCAGCCCCATAATGACAAATTATCCTGTCTCCTCCTATGAACACCTAATTCCCTTTAGACAAGTTTATAGCGTGCAGACTGCTGGTGATATACCATCTGTGAAGAAGATAAATCTATGAAATGATTGAATCTATTAGCTACTCTATTCCATATTCTCTGAATACAGAACCAAAGTAGCCTACCAGTTAGACACTTCTCCTTCCTTAGGGCAATCTATGATTGTAATGTCAAATTAATGTTCCTCACATATTGACCATTGAGGTATTCCAATTATTTGAGGTCATTAATCATTATGGAAATTGTTCATCAATGTGTGGAATTGTGGGATAGAATATGTCCCAGTACCCCCTGCTTGTTGTAAGAGCTGAGGTCCCCAGTACCCCCTGCTTGTTGTAAGAGCTGAGGTTCCCAGTACCCCCTGCTTGTTGTAAGAGCTGAGGTCCCCAGTACCCCCTGCTTGTTGAAAGAGCTGAGGTTCCCGGTACCCCCTGCTTGTTGAAAGAGCTGAGGTCCCAGTACCCCCTGCTTGTTGAAAGAGCTGAGGTTCCCAGTACCCCCTGTTGGAAGAGCTGTCCCCAGTACCCCCTGCTTGTTGTAAGAGCTGACTGGTCCCCATTACCCCCAGCTTGTTGTAAGAGCTGAGGTCCCCAGTACCCCCTGCTTGTTGAAA